TGCCCACCACGTCTAGCCCCAGCATAAGCGGAAAAGCGTTCTATATCATAGCAATTTCCACAACGCTGATTTCCACACCACCCAATCCCTGGAATGGACATATCTCCTACCCGCTGTACCGTGATAAAGTCTCCTTTTGTCAGGGGGTCCCAGCTTATTGATCCAGTTGACTCACATCCCCAACTGCCACAGAAAGCATAGTTTTCTCCTCCGCATTTCTGACGCCGTTCTTTGGTCATAGAGTGGCCAGGACAAACATAAAATTGCAGTTGCCTTGCTTTGGCGCATCCTCCAGGTGTGTCACATCCTACAGCGAATGCTGAGAGCTCCTTGCCATTTGGGAGAATGTCAGGTTCATTTCCAGAAGGTCCCCACATCCGCCCCCCTAGATCACAAAGGTCTGCATATAGATCGGGGAACCAGGTGTCTCGTGGGGCCACAGAAGAGATTCTGCTAATTATCCTGTTAGGGTTGGACCCTCCAGAGATGATGATCCAGGTTTGGTTCCAAGGTGTATGGGGATTATCAGGTTGGCTGATCTCCATGGTGGCACCAGGCAGAAGCAGGAGAATCAGGTAGAGGCTGATCATTTTTCCTGGCACGGGGTAACTTGAGCCTCAGTGGATTAGAGGGATGTTGAGTAGCTTCCCACACCTCGCCTTGGTACTCCTCAGGAAGCATGAAGGGGTCAGTGAGTCGCACGTGTGAGTAATGGACCCAGGCTGTGACTCCGTCCACCTTCAGAGCTGCCGGGGTGGTCAGGATCACCATGTAAGGTCCTTTCCACCTGGGCTCCAATGACTTGCGCTGGTGCCTTTGGATCAGGACCCAGTCTCCTGGTCTGAACCTGTGGGGAGTAGGAGGAGAAGCGGCCTGGTAAATAGCCTGGAGCTTGGGCCATATATCTTTATGGGCCTGGCAGAGTCCTCGAAGTGCATCCAGGAGGTCCTGGTCCTCCAACTGTGTCACTAAATCAGTGTGAAGACTAGGTATAATGGGAGGTGGGTACCCATACATGATTTCAAAGGGTGTTAATCCCAGTTGGTAAGGGGAATTCTGAACCCGAAAAAGGGCAAAGGGAAGAAGGGTCACCCAGTCACCGCCAGTCTCTAAGGCCAATTTAGTTAGGGTCTCTTTTAGTGTCCTGTTCATTCTTTCTGCTTGCCCTGAGTTTTGGGGTCTATAAGCACAGTGTAATTTCCAATCTGTCCCCAATGTGGTGGCTACTCCCTGACTTACCTGGGAAATGAAGGCTGGACCATTATCTGATCCTATCATAACTGGAAAGCCAAACCTGGGCAGAATTTCTTCCAGTATCTTCTTAGCCACCACATTTGCAGTTTCGTATTTAGTGGGGTATGCTTCAGTCCATTCTGAGAAGGTGTCTATAAAAACTAATAGATATTTATAGCCAAACTTTCCTGTCTTGATTTCAGTGAAGTCCACTTCCCAATACGTACCTGGCCGGGTGCCCCAGAGGCGACTCCCTGGGTTTGCAGGGTGTGGGTTGGTGTTAGTCAGGCGGCAAGCATGACAACTAGCCACAATGTCCTCTATAATCTGGTTTCCCTCTTTAATTTTCACTGCAGAGTGCCTGAGGAGATCTTGCATTTTCCTGATTCCCAGGTGGGATGTCTGATGTATTTTTCAGAGCATTGTTCGTCCCAGTTCTTGAGGCAGAATGATCTTATTGTCAGCTGTCCGCCACCATCCCTCTACCATGTGCGTCATGGGTAGAGATCTCGCCCATGCCTCATCTTTATCCGTGTACCGGGGTAAAGGGGGAAGGTCACGGGCCCCAGGGTCCACAAGCATAGGAGTTATAGTGGCCGTCATGGCCACCTGCCTGGCTGTCTGGTCAGCCAAATTGTTTCCTCTTTGAATCAGCCCTTCTCCTTTCTGGTGCCCCAGGCAGTGCATGATTGCTAGTTTCTTGGGGGCCCAGAGGGCCTTTAGTAGCTCTAGGATTTCTTGTTTATTTTTAATAGTCTTTCCCTCTGCAGTTAACAGCCCCCTCTCCAAGTATATAGCCCCATGGATATGTGCAGTGGCAAATGCATACCTGCTATCAGTGTAAATGTTCAGCTTCTTGTCCTTCCCGAGTTGGAGGGCGTTTGTTAAGGCTATTAATTCAGCCTTTTGTGCTGAAGTCCCTGGCAGCAATGCAGTGGCCCACACGATGGTTTCACTGGTAGTCACTGCTGCCCCCGCATACCTTTGTCCATCACGCATGTAGCTGCTCCCATCCGTGAACCAGTTTTCCTCTGCATCTGGTAGTGGGACATCTCGCAGGTCTGGGCGTATGCAGTGTGCCTGAGCCAGGATCCCAGCACAGTCGTGAAGTGGAGCCTCCAGGTCGGGATCAGGCAGTAGGGGGGCTGGGTTCAGAGCTGTTGGGACTTGATAAGTCAATCTGGCTGGGTTAAGAAGGAGGGCCTGGTAGTGAGTGAGCCTTGCATTACTGATCCATCGATCGATCTGGTGGCTGTTTAAGGATTCCCTCCAGGGCATGTGGGGTTGCAATAGTCAGTCTTTGACCAAGAGTCAGTTTGTCTGCATCTTTAACTAGCAGAGCTACGGCCACAATTATTCTTAGGCATGGAGGCCACCCCGCAGCCACTGGGTCCAACCTTTTTGACAGATATGCCACCGGTCTTTTCCAGGGTCCCAAGGTCTGGGTGAGGACTCCTTTGGCAATGCCCCTACTCTCATCCACATAAAGGTGGAAGGGTTTGTTGATGTCTGGTAGGCCAAGTGCTGGGGCCTCCAGCAGTTTCCGTTTCAGTTCCTCAAATGCTCATTGTTCCCTCTCTGTCCAGACAAAATCTGTTGTGTTTCTAGTGACCTCATATAGGGGCTTAGCCAGTTCAGCGAATCTGGGAATCCAGAGGCGGCAGAATCCCGCTGTCCCCAGAAACTCTCTCACCCGTCTTGGTGTTGTAGGAGCGGGTATTTTCAATACCATCTCCTTCCTGGCATCCGACAGCCACTTTTTACCCTCCTTAAGGACATACCCCAGATACCCGACCTGCCTCTTACAAATTTGGGCCTTTTTGGCCAAGGCTCAGTACCCTAGGCATCCTAGGGTCAGCAGCAAGTTCTCAGTCCCTTTAAGGCAGGCTGCTCTATCGACTGCAGCAATCAACAAGTCATCTACATATTGTAACAAGCTGATGTCTGGATTTTGGGTGCGATACTCACCCAGATCTTCA